TGCCATGTTTGCTTCCTTGCCTTCAAGGACCTTGTAGGGCATTGACATAAAGTGCTGGTTTGATGTACTCCTGACCGTGAATAAACGTCAATTATTGCTGAAAAACACTGTGAGGAGGAACAGCTAAGTCGTTCTGTTTTCGAACTTCCTTCTGTAGGGTTTAGTGGGTATGTTATGGTTTCCAAGCAAATCAGCGCAAACTGTAGATAAAGATGTTTATAAGATCCCGAAGTTTCAATATGTAAGGTGCTGCAAACTCAGTGTAACGACTACAGTTCCAGCATTTGGTCTAAACTCATAACTGACTAACCAAAGTTTATTCGATGAGGCCAAACTAAGTTCTGTTTAGCGTGCAAAAAGTTTTGAATGTCTCAATTAGTTATATCAAAGCACAAACTCTGTGTTTAACTTGAATGGCTGTATTCCAAAAAAGAAAACAAATAATATCAAAAGTACAGAATACCTCAGATGGTTTCATAATGAGAAATTTTTCACAACAGATGTTAAGCTTACTCTCTACAAAATATGTGTACGGCCCTCCCTTGAATACTGCTCTTTTGTCTTCTCTAATATGAATATCACAGACAAGATAAGAGTAGATGTTCAAAGACGTTTCACAGTCCAACTACTAGGGTGTAACTCGAATCTCGATTACACAGAAAGATGTGAGCAACTCTCTTTAGAAACTTAATGGTACCGTAGGCTAAAGAACAATTTAATATCTCTCTACAAAGCGATATATGGGCTCTCCTTTCTAACATCCTGCCCAACTATAACCCACGACCCAGCCTATAGACTTAGAAACAATGCATATACATTACTTACCGTAAAACACCAAAAACAAATGCGTTGTGAGTTTTTTACAGTAAGGTATAATTTACTGTGGAACAGGCTGCCAATGCCTATCAGTAACTGTGATACGTTTACCAAATTCAAAAAGCTAATAACCGTATTTCTGTACTCTAAAGAGCTTCAACATTTTCTTGAACTCCCGCCTACCAATGAGGCACTTTATTACGGACCACCTAGTATCAAGACAGAACAAGAATATAACTAGCCCGACTGTTATTAATATGAATATAACCAAATCACAGAATATATGGCTTATCCTTTCCTATTATTCATTGTTTATTAATTATGGCCTTATGCTCCTAACCCTCACTTTCAGTTCCCAAATCTCTCTACAGGTAAAATGTACATTATTCTTCCTAAAAGTTATGCCTTTTTTTCTATTGTAAGTAGACAGATAACTCACTAATCTTATGGATGCTGATCTATCAAGGCCGATCAAACTAAGCTTAAAATCTGGCCACAAAGTCTTGTGAGTTTCTCAGTATTTTTTTTCTTACCCTAAAATCTTCTTTCCTACAATTTTATACCCTCTCATATCTTTTGATTTGCTACTAGTCCTTACTTTAAACCATTAGTTATCTTTATAGCAGTGTGATATACTATGTGGACATCTAACACATAAAACAAACTATCTGATTTGCTTTAAATAAAAATAATATATTTGTACTATCCCAATGAGTAGAAAATTGGATTTTCTGACGTTTCTTGACTTAGTGTAAACTTGGATTAATTTTAATTTGGTTATTTATTCTCTGAAGAAGTAACTTACACTAAGTCACGAAACGTCAAAAAATCCAATTTTCTACTCATTGGGATATTACAAATATATTACTTTTATTTATAACAATGAACCCAATGCTCAATTTATTCGAAATTATCAAATCAAACCTTGGTAATGACACCTATATCTGATTTGCTTGTAACATGGACCTAGTAGAGACAGTGTATTCCAACTATGGGCTTTGATTAAAGCAGTATTCATACTTTCCACAAACGTAAGAGAGCCTAACATCACAAAAGGAGGGAGAGTAGCGTTTCTGACCAGCAAACATGATGGTGGGGAGATAACTTCAATCCATCCATGTTTGTAGGGCAGAACATTTTGTTTAATTACGGATCCTTATGGTTTAGTGGGATGTCACGAACTTAAGGTATTAATGCTGATTTATTCACGCAAAATACCTCTTTAAGTCGTGTTACGAACGTTGAATTGCTTTCGCTTCCTACCCAGTAATCCTATTACATGCAAACTAGACAATTCGCTAATATACGAAGCCTACTCAAGACCCTATAATACCTAAAATAATAATGATAATAATGATAATAATAATGCAAAAAAAAGATGAAAAGGGCTCCAATAGCTTCGATAATAAAAGGAAGATGGTCAATTGTATATCAAAATACTGTTTTTAGCACTATATTTTATGACCAAACATAATCTCATACTTTCAGTTCCTTTCTGAATCGCCTCCATTTGTCAGTTGTATGTTCACTCATACCTTGTTTACACTTATTTTCTTTTACCTATTAAAATGCTCTTGCTTAACAAGTACCTTAATAAAAGAAAATTAGACTGAGTAATCATACCTTAAACATTCCTTCATGAATATTGGCTACTCTGCCTCTCGTGTTTTCTTTTACTTGCTCCCTCTTTCAGCCCTCTTGAGATATGGAATAGGTGACTTCATCCTGCACCATCCTTAAAGCCTTGGATATCCCAAAGGGACATAAGGTTGCGATTTCTAGAAGCTCTCACTTTCAATGGATCTATCCTTGCCCATCAGTTGCACATTCGCAACGCGACTTTTATGAAGCGCGTCAACTGTGATACTGACTGAAACCATTAACATTCATATTTTTTAAATTATCAACCCAGCTGAATAATTTACTACAGTGGATATTGTATCATTTGCAACAATTTGATCTTGCCTGCAATTTGGCATGCCTCATGTAACGAATTGTTATTTAAGAATAAATTATTATTATAATTATTATTACAGTTTGTTCCACACAGTAAAATGTTATCCCAGTACAAAATATCGAGCTAAACAGCAAAAAGAATGGTTAGTCAATAAGTGGTCTGTAGCTGGGAATCAACTAGAATATTCTTAACGATAAGGATTCTAATAACCGTTTTCATCGGGCTGTCAAATATCAGCAAACATTAACTGGATCACGCTGTGACCTTGAGTTTAATCAAACATGAAAAGATTGGAAATGACCTGGCAATATGAGACAGTAAAATTAAGTGATAAAGGCAATTCTTTAACAAAATCCAAGTAATAAAACCCTCGACAAGAAGACTGACAATTGTAAAATGTGGTTACAAGAGACGTTATTAAAGGTAAAATATAAGACAATGAAAAAGAACAAGAAAATAGCAATGCTGTTCAGTGAAACACGTTGGGTGTTCAACTTTCAGCATATTATTTTGTTACACTAGGCACCGAAATCCCTCTACCTTTATACGGATATTTTTGAATATATTCAGCCTTTCTGTCCTAGCTAACCTTCCTACCATAATGGGGAGTGCAGGACTTATAGCAAGTACGCTTTTACACCTGTAAACTTAAACTACAACCAGCGGTTATTTGGTTTCCTCCCTAAGACAAAGCCCAAGCACTTTTCTGCTTATCAACCTTTCTTCCGTACTTAACGTTACTGTTCTTACAAGACCATCTCCATCTACCTCGTATTTATCCACCAGCTATGAGCTGAGAATAGTAAAGTCGTTAACCACCAGCACTATACCAACTAACCAAAAGTTTGCGAAGCCATTTCTGTCTCACTTGCAGTAACAGAACCTATTTTTTCATTCAATGACTCTAGAAGGTATTATGTACACTGTTTGCCTCTCCCTATCGTTCTGAGTGCCTGTCAGTAATAAAGAATATAATCCTCAAATTACCAGTCTTTTAGTAGTAGTAGGGTGTTAGGTGTGAGCATCAATTCATCACTCTCATCAGGTGTCACAGGAACGATGGAATAGTTATACGACATTGTGTTACCTCAAGGTAAGCTGATAAACTGTCATCGTGTAGGACTTGCTGAATGAAAATGGCTAGCATGAACCTTTGGACATGACTTATCAGTTTGTACCAAACTCCTAACTAGTGCGATGTTGAAGTACCAATATACTTCGTGTGATGTTGTGAAATCGCTTATCATATGTTTGTTCCAGTCACTCATCATCTCTTAATCTAGACGTTGCCGAGATATAATAACGATTCAAAGAGGTTTATACTTTCACCCTCGGTTTTATATGCTTCCCGCTGTTCCACTGTTATCCAAATCGCAATGTACAAAGAAAGCTTATCCTACTTCCTCTTTATTTTGACTTGGAACGATATCTATCCTAACTTGTAGAATTTTGAGAAGGAGACGATGTTAGCAACATCATAAGCTAAAGCTACGGACAGTGCAAATTTCGAATATTTGAAAGATTATTGATTTCGAGAAGTTATATAATACCACTGAACAATCTTTTAAGCCTGTTACATGGTATTTCCTTCACAATGAGGAAGAGTTCGAAAGGTCGCGTGGGTGTTGTCAGGGATAAAAAAAAGAGTACGTTTTTGAGTAATAGGTTATAAGGCGCTAAATCTTTCGTTAGTGTGTCTCTAAGAATACAGGGAAGGGATACGAGGTAAACTAAATTCACTCAATAATATTCAGAGCAGGCGGATGTGAAAACATCCTACACAAATCTGATAATAGCTATGAACTTTGAATATAAGTTTTGATTGAAGCTGTTAGTAAGATAAGCCCGATGGAATTCAATCATCACAAACATGGGGAAATCTTACATTTTTCCAAATCGCTGGTTGATTTTGTGTTGACGACTGCGCTGTTGCCTCGTCTTTGCTTTTCCACTGACCGAACATACTATCTTCTGCAATACTACTGGTGACTTGGCGGAGAAATAATATTCTATCTACCATTGCCTTGCCAGTGTCTGAACAGCGTTATCAAAGCCGAACGTCCAACCCGTTCCCCCATATTTTCAATACACTGTACAAAGTAGAGGTGTTTTTATAATTTCCTGGAATTCAATACTAAATAAGTAGCACTTTTGAAGGTTTTTTAACACCATTTTCAACTTTACACACCTGGTGTTTTAATTAATCTTTTCACTCGTATTTGCCTCCATTGTATCAAATGTACTCGCGAGTAATGTTGTTGCGTACTTCTCGTTACTAGAATCACCAGATTTTCGTGCATGTTTTGCAGTCATACTATTCAGAAAAGTTTCGTGGAATTAAAATCGCTTGTGGACTATACAAATCGAAGGGAATTCGGTAAGACTGCATGTCACGAACATCAGAGTGTTTCGGACAAGCTCACGGCCCAGCGATCTACTAAAGCTCTAATAGCTGACACACCAGTCAATTGTCGCTCTGTCTATCTACTTCGACTTAATTGTTCCGGCCGACTTGTTGCTGCGGCGCACGGAGATCGTTCTGTTTGTGTTTATTGCGCTTCCACTGGCCGACTACTGTTAAAATGCATTGGTCATGAGAGATCTCCTTGGACACTAACTGTAAGTCATACTTTCAATAAGTACTGTTTAATTGGAACTGGGTTTTGAGTGAATGTTTCCGTGTAAAGCTCTGTATTAAGAAATGGTAAGAATGTGCTCGATTTCCATTTTGGGGAAGCTGCTATAGAAACATTTGTGGAAATGGTAAAAAAACCCAAAACTTCCATAGATCTAGGAAAGTTCCCCAAAAATTGAGGAAAACCCGAAAGTAACGAGACTGGGTGGGTTTCGTTCACCTAATGGTTATTTCAACCCCAATATTAGAAATGCTTGATCCTGTCTTGGCAACTAAATAAGCCACTGGTAGTTAAAACTAGGTCCACTTCCTGGCTGCATAAAGTGAATAGTTTGATTTAGCACTGCATCGAGTTTAATAGTCAAACTTATGTCACCCTAGTCTTTAAGACGTGAGTTTACGTGGTAGGTGCTCCTAATAGTGGGTTGTAACTGACCGTCATCGTCCTCGACTTGTGAGCTGTATTCATTGCCCGGTGATCATGCCACGATTTAAGACACCCATATACCATGAACTGCTGGCTGCACAGTCAGTTTTATATTTCTGTATTTATAGAATATCGTGGTACTTGAGGTAGTCAGTAAGCTGTGTGAATTCTTCTCCAATTACTGTTAGAGCGGCTAGGTCTTATCACTGACTTCTATAGTATAAGGTTATCAAGCGCAGATGCATCCACTCTTTGTGTTCTCCCAAATTCTAATCTTCTGAATTATTTGTGTCTTTTTTCTCTTTCCAAATTTATTTCACTGTATTATACTCCTTGGATAACATCTTTAAACCCTAATCTTTCTGATTACTGCTTATACTCTTACTACCTCTACCACTATGGGATCTGAATCGACAAACGTATCTGTGCTAATGTGATATGGAAACTCGGATTGATGTACGTACGTACGAAGTTCTACGTTGTTGCTGACTGACCAGCATTTCAGCTGCATTGTCAAAACGTATAGTTTTCAAGTCGTAGCTACAATTTTACCGATGTCATGGGATAAATTAATCGAGAACGTTGCTTCTTGCGTAATTGCTCACCCTAGTCAAAGTTGAAGCATATTTTTAAGTTCACTTGACCGCTTGGTTGGTGGCTGTATCGCTCGTTTTTTGTACTACACGTTAACTCGCTATTAAGTTCTAGACATAAGGTACTCAATTCCATCTTTCTAATCTAAATACCTTGTTCTTCACTGTTTTCGGCTCTTAAAATTCACATCTAGTCTGAAAATCAGCTTTCATTAACTGAAGTCATAATCTTGGTAAAGCATATCCCTCTCTAAAATAGACATCCAACCTACTTGACTCGAGTCGATCAGCAAGTCCTAAAGGTTGGGGTCATGAAAATCTACATTCCTGACAATACATCAGTAAGTCAGCTAACTGTTTCGCGCTTATTCTGCTTAAAGGACCTAAGCACATTTTACTGCGTTATCCGGGTTTAGAAATGTGTTCACATCTGATGTTGACAAATTTAATCGTTTTTAGTGGTCAGTGATGTAAGTCTGGAGAAGAGGGAAATTGATTATGTATACACTGGTCCTTAGTGGTGTTAGATGAGGACGGTCATCACTTCCCGGCCTCCCACATCGTGAAAGTGTTCTTCCTGAGGTATCTGAAGAGGAAATCGAGTTAGGGGTGGTCTTAGTGACCTGAGAATGTGACCACAGTGCTCAAGGGATAACTGCTTGAGGCCGGTCACACACAACCTCTTTGTGAGTAATTTTCGTGTTAGCTCTGCACTTGTTAAGACCTTACCGCCGGAAACGGAAATCCATGCGATAATGTGATGTGTGGATTCTTAGGGTCGACCTTTTCTAACCCCACCCTTCCTTGTGAGAAGGAAGCATCGCTGTTACGCCGGTTGCCTGAAATAAACACCTTACTGCCGTCACACTTCTGTACAGTCAACAGTACGACTTTGCCTTGGGTTTGGTACTTTTATTCTTATCGCTCTTCAAACAACCTGTCTGGGATGGTCAGATCCTGAGGAACAATTGTTCTAGCTAGTATATTCCTATTGGTTCATCACGATAGGCAAACCCGACCACCACGTCAAGATAGCAGTAGCGGTCTTAAGTCTAGGAAGTTCATCTGTTGGAACGTTTTCGGTAGTGGGTAGAATGCGAGTCCAACGTATGGTTTCATAACTGTACTGTCGTGTCGTATTTAACGTGTTGTCCTCCATTGCCATTAATTTAAGTTACAAGCAGACAATAAGACAGTTTATATATCTTTCATGATTTTACCAAAATACAAACTAGCAACCCGTGTTTTATCTAGTTCCTATAGAGAGCTAATCGTCCTTCATAAAGGATTTATAATAGATCAATGTGCTATCTCTGACATCCTAGTAATTTTGTTTTTATTCATTTTACAGAACAAATGGTCAAATGTTGGGATAAAATCATTTTTAAATGCTCACTAACCTGACTAGATAGTCAGTTGCTCGAAAATCTAAATACCAGTGTTCTCAACTGACCAGTTGATATTGTTATAATTTCAAGGGAAAATTAATTGTTCAAGGTGACGTGGGCTCATATTATTCATCAGAGTGACTGCCTACTAGTTGGCAACACTAGACTGTGTTGTACATTCGGATCCCACCTAACACTTATTAGAATGAACAAAGTAATATTACTGATCAAGTGCAACTTAACCAGTTACATAATCCTAGATTCGGTTGTTTATTTGTGTTGGGTTATTTTTGAATTCGCAGTAAAAAGTTTTGGTCCCAAAATACTACATTTAGTTATAATCAAGCTGCCTGATACAGAATGTGGAATGCAACACTTGGTTATCCCTTTATTGTTTCATACCCGATTCCCTTTATTATATTAGAGAGCAAAAACAGAGGTTGATCCAGAATAATGAGTTCATTTTATTTCGTTAGGTTCTTATCAGCTGCTTGCAATCTATAATATTTTAAAATCAAAACTACAAATATTGGCATACTTATAAAAACGAGGGTGATTAGAGATAAATATGTATATCATGATGTAGTGGAAATTCCAACCGAGTTGGTAAGGTCATAAAGATTTTCGTTTCAAACAAATAAATAAAGCTTAAGGGAGGGAAAGTTCCAGAACACCGAACTAATGATCAGCACTTATAAAGTTAGCAAACATTAGATGATTGTGTAATAAAGTAACTGAAGACATTAATGGTAACCAAGAAAGATATGAATTGAATTCGGTCAGTCATTAATTGAAGAAGAGTGGCAACGACGTATTCAAAACTTCAATAGTTGAAATAACTAACAATTCAATAAAAAGAATTTCAATTTCCCTGTATTTACTTGAAACTTAAGGAACGTCTAAAAGATGACCTAGTATTTCCGTTTTAAATCCTATTAACTTGTATAAATTTCTTTTTAAATAGTTTCATCCAACACAACCCTTCTTGCTTGCGAGTGGATGCCTTGGTGGCAATGTACGACTTTGGAATTTAGAGCATTTGGCAGTACTTGGTGATGAAAAAATCGAGGGCACTGTGGAACTATCATCTGTATGCGTTTGGAAGCACACGGGTGCAATCGCATCCCTTACTTTCCATCCAGTTCATCCCATACTAGTAGCAGCATGGTAAGAGATTCCTAAATGTTGGTAGTTTAGTCTTCTTTCCGTAACTTCGTATTTACTCATTTGCAGGGGCTAATTTTCTTGTTATTTGTTGTTGTACTTTAAAGCGGTATTGTTTGGTTAACTAAACTTTTCAACTGAATACAAAACTTTAGTACCCCAAGTGGAAACATTTCGCTAGTAGTGTTTGAAATAAAGGCTATAAGAAACTCCTAATGTTGTTACATAACATATCCTACTCAGAAAAACCCAGTTCTACCGAAATTTAGATGTTTCACTTTAGCGTTCCGGTTGCGAAAGTTCCTTTGGAAAATCATCTTAGTTAATGACAATTTGGTAGTTAATTATTTACACACCTAAATGGACTAAAGTCTGTTCTCTACTCCATTCTTTAAAGTCTAAAGCACACTGTTCATGTTTATCGATGTAGCAGATTCTTAGGTGAGCCCACGGATGGAATTCGGAATATAATATCCTGTCCCCAACTAAATTCCTAGTTTTTTGTTTCTTACTAGAGTTTACTATAAATTTCTACTTTAAAGCAGTTTTTTCTTGTAACAGATTTGTGTTTAACAGAAAATTAATAAACTTCTTCACCTATAGGACTCAAGAAGTGGTATTTTATGATTGGGTATCTGGTCGGATACTTTCGGCATGGCGATTTGTGTCAAATCATTCACGCGTAAGATGGGTGAAATTCGCCCCTGATGGAACAGTTTTATACACAGCAACCGCCAATCCATCGAACAATGAATCAGTTTATGTACATAAGCAATCTGATCAACCAGTGGTTAGGAGCCCAACAAAAGTAGTAGCTACCAAATACCCGAAACAACCATCCTATATCCAAGTGGATCATGGTATGTGCTCATCAACTTAACAATCGCATTATTTATCTTATCAGGTTCCACTTTGATACACTAATGTTTCGTCATAATTTTTCATTCTAAACAATCGTATCCATTGTGCTTAAAACGTAATCCTATGTTGGTCGTTGCTTTTAAAACTTTCTATGTATTTTTATCTTACACTCTAATGCTTAGTGTAGTTGACACAGACTTTTGTGCAGTTGTAGCTGCCGCCTTGATTTGATGTTCCGGCTTGCATTTCTCGATGACCTAATCTGGAAATCGGGACGCTTTTTATCTCTAGGGCCCATCATCCTGAACAAGTTAACTGAAAAGAAGTAAAACGAAAAGCAGCAAATTCCTCTGAAGTTTGTACTGCGAACTGTATAAGTCTATAACAACGGCAAGGTGTTTCGCCCAGACAAACTATCTCCAACCATACAACTGAAAAAGGGATTTGAAGGCCCTACTCTATACATGACACACCACGTTTCTTCATTTATTTCCATCTTCGGGATCAAGTCCTTGAAAATATGGAACTAATTCATCTGAGACTATTCGAATAAGGGCATGTGGATCCGGTTGCCTGTGTTCATACCAGCGGGTCTCCAAGACTATTCTTAACTTCATTTCGTATCCAGGTACCTCAAAAAGAAGTATCCTTCCACATTGTGAGCCACTGCGATGTAGTGGACTCCTTCATGGCGCTAACAGCACGCTGATTCACTGCTTTCATTATCAGACCCCACCTTTATTGCCGAATACTTGTTTCCACTATCGTCCCTCATTTACCACTTATTCCTCATGTACAACCAGTACTAACGATTCGAGTTCACGAATTGCTATTCGAATCCTGTGTCGAATTGAACAACGGCCGTCACTTACGAAAACCTTAGGATCTCGTGCCATCAAGGTATTCGGTGTCTCCCGAAACACGCATACATGATCCTAGCGTTGTCATTTACTCGACCTCACATGAGCTCCAGTATCCTGAGGGAACAAATGGCGTATGAACCAATTGTTGATCACCCACTACCATGGGACTGTATCCATTAACTTGTGGATTAGACTTTTAGGCCCAAGGCTAGGGGTATGGCTCCCTAAGAAAATCACCTGCTTCGGTTTTGGCACCCAGGCAGTATCAGAACTCACACGCAAATCAAGTGACTTGTGTGGCGCATATCTATTTGGTGCCTCCTTGTACCAATATCTATGTGTTTAAATAAATAATTAAACGACTTCACTCTGCCACTATGAGGAGCTAATAGAATATACCACACGCGCATCTGAAGACCTGACATCAATTTGTGATCTTAACTGTGTAGGTATAACATTCTAAAAACAGAACATCGACTTCTTGATTGAATTCATATCAATAGTTGCTTATGTGCTGATCGTTTTGATAGCATGGTAAAACTTTGAAAATATGGGGTACGCCGTTGCCTCTTCATATTTTTTGCCCATGGCCTGCAGTAAAAGATGAATTTTGTGGGTAAACCTTCAGAAAGCCAGGTTCTCAGATGTGGCAATATTAGCATGTGATTTTAACGCAAAGTCAAACTGGAAAACAGATTTTATGGCATCCCGACCGAACTAGCAGATAACCGTGACCGTCTGCTGCAATTATGCTCAAATAATTGCTTATTCCTAGGAAGTACAAACTCCAAGGATGAGTAAAAACAGTCTAACCTGGTATCCCTCAATGTCAATACAATAGATATAAATAAGTGATATATCCATCAGCTCTCGTTGGAGAGACTTAATACAAGACCACTTCTACTGGAGCACATGTTCGGGCTCTTATCATGCCGTGATAAAAGCATTCATTTCTGCGCTCTTGACCGGACGTGAATTCACAACAGAAAGACCCTCTAAATATCAATTGGAGGATGAAAAGGTCAAAAATGCATTCACAAAAGGATAAGCTAAAAATCCGTTCTATTGTAGAAAAACGGTTGGTTCTGCAGATACTTGGAATAATAATGTCCAAGCAGTTGTAAATAAAATATTGCATCTATTAAGTGCTCAAACCAAAGCATTTCGAAAGATTAGTGAATTTAGGTGGCATCCGCTAAATTGTTTGAGGTTCAGAAGCTCATCCCAACAAGCTCAAAAAGTGATGAAGTGAACTTAAACGTCGACTAACAGAAATTTTGTGTAGTGATCGTGAGCAGTGTTGGGCAACAAAATCAGAAAAAACAGAAAAGGCTGGGGTGACAGGTAAATTTAGACGAATCTACCTACTGATCGAAGAAATAGGTGGTAAAAACTCGAGAATTATTGAGGCTATCAAAGGAAAAGACCTGACCATTTTGCGCCCTTAATCCAGGAGATAAGACCAATGAGCAGAGCACTGTAAGGAATTGATCAAATGTCCTCCAGCTACCCTTCGATTACCAACAAATTTCCCTAACTCCTAATAAGGTTGGGAATGCTATAACTTATCAAGAGAGAGAAAGAGATCATGATTAATTAACTCCAGTAGTGGTCAAGGTTTAGCTGCTGAACTATGGTTCTGCTCAGTTTTGTGGTTCCACGCAATCCTATGTGACTAGTGACTGGAAATGAAGTAGTTGAGTGTATTGACCATTACATTTATCTTAGAAGTCTGATCAGGCCTGAAGGGTTGCTTACTTACGCCTGTTACCCCTAATGGAGGAGAATAGGCCGCTCACCAGTATTCTCCACTCAACTCTGTTCTGGGCAGTCCTCTCCAGTTGTTTTCAGTTGCTATTCATGCTTATCATGTCTGCTTCCGTTTCCCGACCCAGTGTGCTCTTTGGCCTTCCTCTTTTTCGTTTCCCTTCAGGATTCCAGGTTAGCGCTCGCCTCCTGATGGTTTCTTCAACCTGTCTTATCCACTTCCAACGTTTTTTCCTAATTTCTTCTTCAGCTGGAAGTTGGTTTGTTCTCTCCCACATTAGGTTGTTGGTAGTGGTATCCGGCCAACGGAAGGGTTAGGGTGTCTATATTGCTCCACGATTCACTGTGACTGTAAAACATGGACTTTGAAAGTAAAAGACTTGTGTCAGCTGCAGTTTTTTTAACCATAGATGTCTTCAAGGCATTACTGGTGGTTTTTGGAACGGCCTAACGAAAAATATTTAGGTTAGGCATTTGGTAATAGCTAAAATATCAAATCAGTCGGTGAATTTTGTTATGACTTTATGTCCGGTTTTTTATCACGTGATTTATCCACAAATCAAAATACGACTTATACAATCTTAGCACTGCGCCAAACCAATGACGTTCGACCGATATGAACAGCCTAGCGTCTTATTTGGTCCTATGTCTGCCTAGCCCGTCCACTTGAGTCCAGAACACAATACCAGCTTCTGCAATATGAGTCATTTATTTCAAACATGCTCGGTTTATATATCAACCAGACAGATCACAACGTACCATAAAATGGAAAATAACATTTGTACAATATTTGGCCAAATGTGGCTGTGAATGTGGGAGGCAGTAGTCAGTAAACTGAACATAGCTTAAGAACCGTAAATCGTACAATAATAAATTATAGGTCAAAATAAAGCTTATAATAAGAGGAATATAAATATACATAATCTAATTGTTGAATAGTTATACCTTAAGAATATGTAGATAATATTAGTCAATTAATGTCTCAGAAGTTACTCGTGATTTAATCTTTGCTCGGATATAACAAGTTTTGCAAGTCTTCATCTATTGAGGTGGTTAGAACATGTGGAGTAGGGTATATTACATGTAATGTAACCATAATGTGTCGTTCAGTGCATCTTTCTCTTGATTTAGTTGTTATATAAGGTGTTTTGAAGAACTTTATAAAATAGTTTACACTTCAGCCCAAAAAGTCGCATCATAAGAGAGTCTTTATATCACATCTTAACTTTAAAGCCGCCTTGCACTATGTTGGTCTAATCGGTGGTAGGTTGAAAAGTTTAATATCTTGGTTTGTAGGTAGGTTTTATTTCAATAAAACTGTTTAAAACCCTTTAAAGTCATAGTTAATTCTGTGATACATGTTTACGAAATCAAACTATTTATCAAAATGTAAACAATCTTTAGCCAAATATACTTGATCTAGCCATACCTTAGATTAATGGGTAGACTCTGAGACTAGGCACTGATTGCCAAGAATGTAAGGATACTAAGTGGTTAGGTGTGTTAGTGTCCGATTTTTCCTACTGCGACTCATTCAAACCGGTTCTGATGTTTTTTACGAAGATTTTATCTTGACTTCCAGTAGTGAAAATTAGTGTTAAAAGCAGAGATAGGCACAAATGACATTACACAATATCATGGAAAACCAACACAACTTTCGACACAATGAATCAACTTGTCTTTCGGAACATGGAAATCTGAAATACAATCAATTCACCACCATTCTTACATAATGCTAAACCATTAAGAATTTATTCTACCTCACATGGATTAACATTAACAATACAAACTTAGTAAAAAGAAGCAAAACGCAGAACGAAATACAGTGCTGTTAGACGTATGAGGACGGTCATCACTTCCCGGCCGCCCACACCGTGGAAGTGTTCTTCCCGAGGTTAGGGGTGGTCTTAGTGACCTGAGAATGTGACCGCAGTGCTCAAGGGATAACTGCTTGAGGCCGGTCACACACAACCTCTTTGTGAGTAATTTTCGTGTTAGCTCTGCACTTGTTAAGACCTTACCGCCGGAAACGGAAATCCATGCGATAATGTGATGTGTGGATTCTTAGGGTCGACCTTTTCTAACCCCACCCTTCCTTGTGAGAAGGAAGCATCGCTGTTACGCCGGTTGCCTGAAATAAACACCTTACTGCCGTCACACTTCTGTACAGTCAACAGTACGACTTTGCCTTGGGTTTGGTACTTTTATTCTTATCGCTCTTCAAACAACCTGTCTGGGATGGTCAGATCCTGAGGAACAATTGTTCTAGCTAGTATATTCCTATTGGTTCATCACGATAGGCAAACCCGACCACCACGTCAAGGTAGCAACAACGAAATACGGCTTCTACAATAGTATATAGTAATGACGGAAGTGACGTACGCCCCGCTACCTGCTTACGGATCTGACTGATTACTTAGATAAGTGACGGGAACGTGTGTCATATGTACTTAGTCGCTATCTACCTTGACGGACCATATAGAGCAGTGTAGGCTTATGCCATGAGAAAACTAGGGACGATCACATCAATACTTAGCATCAGCTCATGAAGTTATTGGCTACTGAATTGAGTCATGTAGGTATATGCAGACTACATGGTTGTGCTCCACTCGATGAAATCAAACAGTGATTGGAGACGGCTAACATAGCTGAAAATCGTTCACAATAACACAGACATTCGTTCTTTATCTTTTTCTCGATATTTAATCCTGGCATTTCTTCATAGTGCTTCCTCTGTCGTTTCATTCCATATTCCCAATGTTCAGTTGTTCTCATCATTGTTACTACACTTTCCCAATCTATTTCACAGTTCATCTTGTCATGCTAATTGATTGTGTCAATGTGGGCCAACTCATATTAGTGACACGCTATACTAACTGATTGGCAGAACAAAGAAATGAATAGTTCTGAGATTAGATGTAAGGAATTAAATACACATGGTAATTTAGTTGATGAAGCTGTGGATTTTCGTTTATTGAAGTGGCTGAGACATCCTATATATACCCAGTCATCTCCACAATCACACAGTGTTGTGTGGCTTGAGTTGGTTGGGAGGGAGCCAAGGATAGCTAGTTCAATGCGTATCATCAGTCTATTAAGTCGTCATTGACTCTTGTACTAAGCCATTTACTTAGATTTCGAGAGTACTTCATCTTGGTCAACTTTTTAACCGTGATTAATGAATGATATGGTTCAAAGTCGATCTGTGTGGTCCAGATTCATTAATTATTTTTCTTCTTCGACACTTCTAGTACCGAATTTGTTTCATAATTTATTCCCTTCTGAACCATGTTCTTGGTGTTCTATTTATAACTATCATAGATACCACCATTTCCCCACTATTTTGCTGTACTCCATATTAATTTTACCTATGTGAAACAAAAATGTTTCGGATTTGTGCTCGGTTTATAACTAACTGAAACAATACGAATTCTTAAAAACTTTGTTTCAACAAAACGGAAAACTATATATTGTTTTTACTTACTCGTCTCTTTTGTAGATGGCGTCAATGTAACTCCCGAAGCCTCATGTGATCTCACAGTACCTCGTGATACTCTTTTAGAATATCTTGTCAATTGTTCTGACTCCTGGTTTCAAAGTCTCGGTATATGTTCCGTTTGTTCGGTTCGTTTATGTCGGTGGGCTGGAACTCTCGGACCTAAATTCCCAGCAACGACGACGGATATTCGCCTTGGGATGTCTGTGGCACAACAAGCCGCAGCTATTATGGCCGCCAGTACTTCGTCCAACATGATACCATCACATGTCCAACATCTACTGAACCTGACAAATCCCAATAATCGTTCTGAAGTGTATGAGCGTCTCTGTCGTGATGCTAACCCAGCTGCCGTGGCCATAATTGAAGATATGCCAGTACATGAATTCCTTCGCTCAAGAGGCAACTACTGTCAATCCCCATGGGTTGCAATCTCGAATAACGGTGTATGTTGTGGTGGTCATGCTTGTGATTTGGTGATTACTCATCGCGAGTTGATGCGTCATTCTTTATGTCGACCTTGCCTCTCCTCATTTTGGTCTTGGGCTAACAAACATGTTGCTTGGTGGCGGTGGTCGTTTTCTACAAATGATGAACAATCTCTAAATTCTACGTCAAATCCTAGCAGTACAGCAGGTTGTGTACCAACTCCTATATCCTTTGGAGTAAGTAAATAACAAATTTGTACTTACTAACGCGTAAAAATAATGTATTATCCCTTTTTACTCTGTAATAAAATCAAAACCAATTGCAACGTCGCCCAACCAAGCTATATGTGCAGATCATGACAACTGATTACTAACCTTTGATGTATGCAACAACCTATACTTGGAATATACAGTCTTACTTGTCAGTTATACTAAGTTAGTATTTGCAGTTCTATACGTCAAATAAGTTCTAATAGATTTGTATTTTTAACAAAGACCCCTCGATTTATCATTTTTAATTCGACTAGTAAAGGATAACTCAAAGTAATCTTCTAACCGCTCATCCTTACAAATACAAACTTACGTTCTTGGTCGATGGTTTTCAGGGAAAACATTGACTAGAACTGGTGTTGCAGTTAGAAATTCTAAGGAAGGTAAACACATAAGAAATCTCTGATCGTGTTTTTGGCACGTCTGTTTACCATGTTATTTCAGTGCGTGTAATTGAGTAAGAAAGTGACTATCGACACCAAATATGACTTTAATCTGTGAAGTCATCAACATGATATATAGAGTAATTGAGTTCCTAGATAGATTCTTTTAGATAATGGCTATCAATGGTTGAAAATCGTCAGTCTTTTAATTCAAGTTTAGTTACATTGGCAAAAATGGCTTTAATTTTTTCCCTTAAGTCCCAAATACTTTATTATTGGTCATTAATCTTCGTTGACATATATTATTGTTCGATTGTTCTTTTTGCCTTATGTATCGTTGTCAACTGTGGTGACTTGAGCTCATTCACTTTTGTGCAAAATTGTAGTTTCGGCTTTCTCTCAGTATTTGATTTAGTAATATTAAATTTAGGTTGATTATTTCACGATAATATGATTAATCTGTTATAGATTTAGTTCATTGTAGCCTGTGTTTAATACCACGGTTTCGGCATCATATTCATTTCATTGTTCTTAATGTTTATCCAGAAAACGAATAATGCGGAAAAGTATTCTGATATTGAGCCTCCTGTTGGCATTTGCATCCAGTGTCAAGCTAAAATGTCCTTACAATTACAATCATCACCCACTGTGTCACTGACATGTAACCAATCTCCCGTTTTATCTCATGGAGCTGGTTCTGAACTTAAGGAATCCGACGTCCTGTCAGTTAATGGAAAAACCTCTAAATCTCTCCGCTTAATGCCACTTGCAGCTTTGGATCTTTTGCGTTCAAGGTTAAGTAATGCTCATGAAGTTACTCCAGTAACTTATGTAGCCACCGACTTAATCAACGACTTTGTTTTCAGTCAACACATCAAAAAACTGTTAGTCAGTGGCAGTGATTCCGATCTCAATTTATCTCATACCCTGTGGGACTCAAATATTACTATACCTTACAATCAGATGGGACAGATAGTCGTGTGTGCTTCTTCATCTAAGGTATGTTATTTCCCATGATGACAGTTTCGGTAATTTTTGTATTTAGACTGAGTTTTTAAATTAAATATTTACGAGGTTACTCATCTTTTTCTCACAAACGCACCCTTATTCGTTTGATAATAATAAAAGCAGTAGTGCAGCCAAAATATACCTTTTTGGTCTCCGTGTCTAGTGTTTTGGATATCGCTGGAGTTGTCGGTCAGCTTTTTTTCTCCCTTAGATCCACTAAATCTAGGTTTTAAGCTGCTGATGTCAAATATTATAATTACTATTTTTGACCATGAGGTGCGATCATTCCATCCATAGATAAGATTTATAAGAATGTCACCACGAAAATAAAGCGGAGCCAACCGAAACTAAAGAAAAAGTAACCACTTGGTAATTTTGTAATATATGTGTACCATGCAACCTTATTGGAAATCCTTGTCTATTCATTTTGTTGCTCATACTCCATACACAAATCTGTAACCAGCTAACTATGTATCTCAGTGAAATTTTCATAATTATTGTTACTAATTTTACCCCCTAATACATACCTGTATTATAACGTGATTAGTCACACTGGTTTAAATTCTTCGAATTCATATTTATGATGGGTATTTCGGTTTTTACTTTTAATTGTACAAAAGGTGCTAACGAAAATATGTATTTGCTTAGATTCTCCCTAAAACAGTTGTGGCGTTGTTTCTGTAAGATTGCACCCACAATCACATTCATCCTGTATTGTATAGTAACGTTAACTAAGCTAGTAGAAATTCTTTTTTTATGGTTATCATTGTACGTAAAAGCATAGTGAGAACTTAACAGCCTTCCTACCTGAGCACAACCCTGAAACCAAATAGTTTGGGCTTTATGTCCAGCGATCCCTAAGTAATCGCTCTTGATAGATGGAAAAAGATTATCTCCGTCATTGATAGGGTTATTTAGGGCGTAAAACATATCTATAACAAAGGTTCGAGATATGAACCAAGGCTTCAATGTCGCTGCCAAATTCAATCGATCCATTTGATGCAAGTTAAACAAATAAAGCTCACCCAAAAGATAGTCTGATGATAATAATTATCTAGTGACACAGAACGTTTCTTGTGTATAGAAACTAAGTGTATTGAAAAAAACTAATCCGTAGGAACGTAAAACAGAAATATAGTATTGTTTGAATATTGAAATCAGTGTTAATTTCTTTTATCGTTTGTTAATTTGCATGAAAAAATTTCAATTATCTAAATTTGTTTTGATGGTATAGAGGCTCCAAGGCTTAAATCAGTAATACAATTTCATGATCGTTGTTGCCCCTCGACTAAAGCTTATCATTGTTTGCATCCACTGATTAGTATCCTACTCATTGACAATCAGAAATTCGCTCATCAAAAACCTCTTTCATAATAGTTGTTTATGATCGTACATTGTAATTTGCAGATTTTAGAATAAAAATGAAACTGCTTTATATTCCTGTACAGTCACTGAATTGCATTGATTTTGTACACAGTGGTTCGTAGAGCTGTGTATTATTTTCCATCTTTGTAATTATATGTTATTGATTCTATTGACTGTTTGTTAATTTTGATCTTTCAGCGTCGAAAAATGGATAATCAATTTCAGAACAAAATACTTTTTAGTCAGTGTGGTAGTCAATTATCTTTTGACAATAGCTCAATTTCAAAACCCATGTTCATGGATTCTGATCCAAAAGATGAATTATTTGGATCTAAACTTCCTAACACTCTTCTAACGTGTAAATATCGTCTGCCTCAGGAGGCCTCTGATTTGGGCGCATACACGCGCGACAACCCTGATAACAATTGGAATTATCCACGTCCTGCTACAGTTCACTACACTTCTAGTGTCATGCCTTGGATGTCATCGTCGATTTTCCCGTACGTCCAGACTGGAGCTTCTCTATTAAGATCTCCCCGCCAACTTACCGATTCTCTTTCGGAATCCACTATTGTGGATCAAATTTCAGGTTTACCAACTTCTAACAAAGTCTCTATGAACGATACACAGCATGTCGACAGTTGTGAAACTGATCCATGTGAAGGTAATCCTACGTTATTTTTAGTCGATGTTATTTATAAATCCTATGTTGTTTCTCAAACTTCTTAACTACAAACCCTCTTGGGTATGAATATGGGTTAATATTCATACGGCGAGACTATAATTTATGGACGAAAGAATAAGATATAAGATAAAAGGTTTTGGATTTTGGCGCGAATTTCATTCATCTATTTGGTTAAAGAGCGTTTTTGGCATTTCAGATTATGTCAGATCGTGATGAAAAAAATAATTCTAGTTTCTCACCATAGTTTATAACCGTCATTTGGTCCTATTTAGTATGTGGACATTTTCAAGGTCGCTTTAGCGTTGCTCAAAGGTCTTCCATAAATTATAGTCTCACCATTCATACCTTATTCTCAAAGTTCTGAAGATCTCTCATTTTCGACCCGTTTTCTGTTACTTCTACCAACTAATCTACCTTCTTGCCATTTGGTAAATAAAGAAGGAACGAATTAAGCGAAAAAAATTTCTTCGCTCAATTCGTTCCTTCTTTATTAATCTACCTTCCTCGATTTATTTTTTTTCTTTACAGCCACACAATACTTGCCATTTATTAGAGTAAACTTCATGATTTGGAGCTTATAGACGCTTGTCCGTAAATGTGTGCATCGGTGGGTTTCCGAAGCAGCCATGATACCATTAATGTGAATGTTCGCTTAGACTCAGCGAAGTCATTATTTGCTTATTTCACCACTGCGATTCTAGTTAAATTGACAAACTGTTGGGGATGCTAGATCTCCAAAACTCACTTGGGAAACGTCTTATTTTTGTAACTTAGTTTGGAAATTTGAATTTCTTGTTTTCGCACCAAAAGCGCCCATTTTCACCTTCATTATTGTATTTCCCACTTAAGGGAACATTAAATGTCATTGATGTGTTGTCTCTTTTGATATGTTATTTTGTAACGTTTTTAAGAACGTTTTTATGCTGTGTATATACGCTTCAGTTGTGCTTGTCCTTTTTCTTGTTAGTGGGACTGAGACATATCGGACTAGTTAGCTTATTTGGTCATTGTGTCACTGAATCTTCGTTCCATTCGCCGATTTATGTGATCTCGTAATCTCTTCAAACATAACACAAACCTAGACTTTTGTGACCCGTTTTACATGTATAAGGTTTGGACTCTTCAAACTATTAACTTAACTGTCAGATTGTAGGTTTGAGTTTCCGGTTTAAGGCAATTACTTCTGCTACCCCTCGTGACGGAGCATAGGCATCCCCCATCGAACTCTATCTTAGACAATCCTTTCCATTCACTATCCATCCTTTTCATATCTGCTTCCGACTCTCGACACAGTGTGCTTTTTGACTTTCCTCTTTTCCCTTTCCCCCTAGCAATCCAAATTAGGGCCTGCCTCGTGGTTCAGTTTGGTTTCTGTAATGTATGTCCTGTCCACTTCCATCGTTTAGGTAGTCACGTGTTATATATCTATTTATTTGTCCACTACATCATTTCGTATACCATTGTTAAGTTGCTTTTGTTATCTGTAAAGAAATCCTTTAGTTTCAACTAATTCTCGTATCTAAAGGTAGAAAAAACATTTCATGAGAAAATAAGAGTTAGAACATTTCACAAGGGTAACTTTTTCCTTATATTCATTCAGTTACTCTGCAATTTTTGCCAGTTCGAAACCTGCATTCCAACTTTTCAGACGAAGTTCTCTGAGAAGCAAAAAATATGATAAATAAAGCCTCTAAACAGATATGACAACCGAGATGTTGGTGGTGTTACTTTTTTCAGTCGTGTGTACTGACTGCCAAATTATTAAGGCTCATTTGTATTTACACGGTCGATTTAATATCTACCAGTTATTTTGTTTTGTCAACTTGTTTGCTTTCAGGACCCAACCGAAGTTCAATGACTGCATGTTGCCGTTGTGGCCGTATTGTTCTTCAGACATTCCCCGTTGATCCTCACTCTAATATCAGTGCAGTCGTTTGTGAAAAGTTAATTTATTCTGAAAATCGGTACTTAACTCCTAGTTCCCAGAAAGCTCATGGTAACATTATTCATTCACAATGTTCATCTAACCAAGATCCCCATACTCCCACAAGTCACCCTTCTTATCAGTTTGATTTATCGTCATTGAACTCTTGTCCGTCTGGTTCCACTTCTCTGTCTAACCGATCCAGAAACGTGGAGGCTAGAAAGTCAGAAACTGCTGAAAGATCGGTGAATGCCGTGCTTCATCTAATTGACCAAACAGGAAATAATTCTGTTTTAAATGCAGTGAATCGCAGTATAACTGAAGTTATAACAGGTCTCTTTGTTGATATGGGTGAATATGGATCCGCCTCTAGTCTTCAAGTGAGTTTTTATTCATATAACTAGAGTGTTTTATTGTAAATTTACTTCTTCACCGACCACTGTATAACAAGAATCCTACTATCCATCACTCCAAATTCTGTTAATTAGTTATCACACAAAACTACTGCCCTAAGAATATGTAATTTTCAACATTATTCAGATATTCAATTTAAAAAGATCAAACTTAGTAATTTGTTTGAATTCTCAAGTGATATTTTTTATTTATTTATTTAAACACAGATATTGGTACAAGGAGGCACCAAATAGATATGCGCCACACAAGTCACTTGATTTGCGTGTGAGTTCTGATACTGCCTGGGTGTCCAAACCGAAGCAGGTGATTTTCTTAGGGAGCCATACCCCTAGCCTTGGGCCTAAAGGTCTAATCCACAAGTCAGTGGATACAGTCCCATGGTAGTGGGTGACCAACAATTGGTTCATACGCCATTTGTTCCATTGGGATCCTGGAACCCATGTGCACAATTGGTTTGGAATCAGGGTTTTCGAATTCCTCTAGGTGAATCCTCCATATCCACCAACCTGGTTACAGCACCAGACATTCGCTTTTCGTCCTCTCAATTTCGTAAACAGTAATGCCACGAGAAGGCAGTGAGTAAGACTTCCCTGACAGTGGTTGTATGCCTGTGGCCATGACAGAGCATTTCGAGAGAGCTGACTGTCCCATGGCATTTGGGGGCTCTCAAGTGATATCCAAATCTACATTCGAAGAAGTAAGACATACCTCAATAATTACCCTGCTATATACAGTAAATCTAAAGATGAATTAGCTTTATGTATCCTTACAATGAGTTAATCTCATCTCTATACAATATACCTCTTTATAAGTTTATTACATCTATCTTCCCAATGTACTGTTAACTGTTGCTATTTTGTTACATAACTAACCTTCTGTTTTTTTTCCTTGATAGGATGTTACACATCGTATTTGTCGGTGGGAACTAAGTTTATGCAGTCCTATCTATAATACTCCTTATTTGTCTTCATCTGGTGAACGTGATTCAGCAAGAAGTGCGTGCTTGCCCATGCCAACCAACGTTGCTGTATCATATAACAATAATAGTCTTGTTGTTCCTCACGCTCGTTTGTTTAATGATTCATCTGTCTGTCTCTCACCAGATGGACGCCTTCTTGCTGCATTTGTTATTCCTCGAGAAACATCGTGCTATACATTACAGTCATCTCAGTCTTCCGCTCTACTCGGTACACTTCTCGCTGTGTACCGTCTGCAACCCGAACATAACCGTGGTCAGTGTCTGTTCGCTCGCCGCTTCACCGCATCTAGTCCTGTTTGTGTTGACTTCAGTCCTTTAGGAGATTTTTTGGCAGTCGGGTTAGCAACTACACGCATACCTTCAGAACCATTCTCTACCACGAGTGAGTCTTCTACACAAGAAAGTCTTTTAAGATATGGTAGTTCTTCATCACTCCAGGATCATTCAGACCTCCGTCAGCCAAACGTTAAATGTTCGTGCCAAAGACAATCCTCTGTCGGTAAGTGTTTGGATATTATTACTCCCTACTTTGATGTTTTGAGTGAAATGAGCATATCGGAGGAACAGCACGATTCATAATTAAATAATTTTGTCCTTTGAACAGACACATCCAGATCTTGTAAATTGTACAGTTATTTTAAAAAATAGTTCCACTGTCGTGATTTAAAGGTTATTTTGTATCATTTATTGTAATAACTGAAGACAGACTATCTGTAACTGTTACGCTCTCCACCATCTAATGTCCCCTAGATACTGTATTTCTCTCGACATTTTGCAAACCAGAACAAGCATTGAGGGGAACAATATATATTCCAATTAACCTGAAAACACAAAGATATAATACTAGTAAGATTATATGAAATTTACATGAGCACCTCTATTCATTCACTAGCATTGATTGATGGGAAAACGGATCAATCAACACATTTCGGTGTGAGCCTGATCTCAACAGGGCTAGTCAAAGTCCTATGTTGTGCAAACAATAACAATATGGTTTATCATAAGTACTTTCTAATCAAATAGGTGAAATGCATTTGTAATAAGTGTGTTTTAAAGTTTTACCCATGCATACTAAAGCCAATCTATCCTGGTTCTTCATGAACGTGTCAATAATTTTTCATTATAATCTTAAACAAGAGACGAATTCAGAATTATTACTGTATGCCAGTATTTACGCCGTGATTGGTTTCAATAACAATATCTATCATTTTACTTAGACTTCGTAGTATTATCTTGTTTCGTTTCAAATGCTTGGTATCATTTACCATTTACACTATCCTGTTTATAGTCCCTAGTTTGTCGTTTTTGCCTGCGCCAAATGAATTTGTTAACTGACACTTACAGTTATTGAAAAAGTCATTTGTTTAGTAGTCTACTCTGACGGTTGCAATAAGCTTAGTTTGATATATGTCAGCTTTTTAAATGTACCATTGATGTTTAAAGTTATTGAGTTGGGTATTATCAACCAGATTAACTTGCATCCATAATCACAATGAATTTCAGAAATCAGTCATTAAATATTATAATTTTACCGAATCGCCTTACATCATTATGTGTGTCAATTAACTTTCAATATTAAAGATCAATCATGTTTTCACTTTAACTGTATATTAATTTACACTTCACTACCATTTATCATGTATTAAGAGTTCAGTGTTGTTTTTTACATGTTTGCTCTTAGAATATGGTGATTCTTTTTATGTTTTTCCTGTTACTGTGGTATTTCCTTGCATTCCTTCACCATAGCGTGCGTTTTCCACCTTCAACGTTCCAAAACACAGAAGGGTCAAGTTCGTCGGAGCCTGCGTGATATTCAAAATATCAAACATCCTGCACTTTTGGATCCTGTCTCATCAAGATATCTTGAATTATCTAGTCCATCTTCAGAAAAATTAGATCGCTGGCATCGGTTATTACTTTCTGCTCAAAGTGGAATCTCTTTGAATACCATTGTTTGGAATGCCAATGGCAGCATTCTTTACGGTACTACCAAAGGTCTCATTGTAATTTCTCATGGAAATCAATCTTCTTCCGTATCAATTCTACCACTTCGTTGTACCAAGTCACATATACAGTCTGTGAACGACTGTGAAATTTCTTATAGAAGAAAACACTTTATAAATCAAGCACAAACTATTACTAGTTCCTCTAACTTTCCCGTTCCTCAGTCTCGTGCTGTAATTTAAATACTGACTTTTTAAATCTATGTATATTTAGGTTTACTGTGCATTTAGTTTATCTTAATTTTTGCTCATTTTACTGGTAAACCCATCCGTAATCATATTTTTACTGGATTTAAACAAAAATAGAAGTTTTATGACGATTCCAATCCCACATTCAGAGTACCTATCTTAATTTTCTATCTGGAAACCGGTAGTGATTAAAATAAAAGTTTATTTTTTATAACTTCGTTCCATTTTTAAAAAAAATATTTAAGTTTAACTATTATACTACAGTTCATATAGTGTTGTTTTCTCACTATGTAAAACAGATTTCCACTAAATCGATCATGTTTGTTTATAAACCTGCTCACTGACTATTCAGGAATTGTTTGTTCACTATATTGTACGATTTTAACTATTTTCCCACTTGCGTTTTACCAAAAGCAAAGATATTTTGTTTCATACTAATCGTTTCATTTTTGTTACACAGGAAGTTAATATTTATGTTAGAACTTGTTATTATGTGAATGGTTTACTTCCTTATGTTTGTATTCTTCTTTTGTATAATCTACCTCAGCTATGTCCCAGTGATCTTTAATGTTACTAACTCGGTTTTACTTTTATTTTGAAATCCTAACTCATTTCTTACTAAAAATATATATTTCCGGTTTGAGTTTTATCTGGTCTCTTTTTTTATTCATAAACTTATTTTCTTTAATTGGGATTACAAAGTATCTATGATGAATGTGCAACAGTGAATTCTTTTAAGTTTATGTAAACTACAAGTAACTTCAGTTATATAGATACTTCTAGTTGTTTCCAATTGTTTTCCATCGAAGTCAGTTCTGAACGTTGTAAGTTAATCGTACCTATTGTTTTATTTTCTTTCATACAACAGTGAAAAAACGGGATAAGTCACCACTCATTTATTTCATCACATATTTTTGCTAGTAGCTTTACGATTTTACAGGATATATATATCTTTTTAGCTTACTCATTTCGTTATTCTTCTATTCGACATTTTTTGATTATCATTCGGTGGTGGTTAGTGCTTTCCATAAAATATCTACAGTATTCAATTTATTCATTGATCTCGGAAGTTAAAAATAACAAGAACACTTATTCGTCCTGCGTATGCCTGAACACTGATTACCACGACGCGTAATGCTGACTAGTGTTGGGGATAGCTGGAAGAAAGTTAGGGGCATGCAAACCAGAAAGTGGCATCAGTACTTGAAGTCACTAACTTCTAGTCTGAGCCATGTTGGTAGATTCATACTACTTGGTTGGGGACCACGTGACTACAGTAACCAATGGTTGGAGACTCTTGGTGACATGGCTCAGAATCGGTCACAATGGCGTCGGTGTATATACTTTCTGTCTTTCCTTAAACTAAGAGATTAAAATCGCTTCATATCTTTCTTTTTACCAACTAATTCTTTCTTCCCGTTATATGTTCTTATATGAAATCTTTGTTTTATATATAACCACCACTGAATTAACTACTTTGAATCCGGTGTCCATCTTGTTGTGTTAATGAGGTATGACAGCTTGGACCGATGCACATATGTGCCTGGTCCTACGTTGTAGCTGACTGACTGAGATGCTAGTTATTCAGGTGATCATAGGTACCCATCACGAAGTTACTCATTTCCAAAAAAATATAACTTCGTAGGGGAGGTAGTTTGTTTCCTGAGATCCTTGTAGACCCATAGAATTTATAAGAATTGAACCAAGAAATCTTGATCTTAAATAGCTAATGTTTGTTTGTTTTCGTCAAATAGTGAACAGAATTTGTTTATTGGTTGTCGACCAAAAATTTCCTCATTTAGAACCCCCTTACTGGTCCAAATTATTTTGTTGAGAGATGTGGACCTCGACCGGCTTCATAGTTATTTGATACAACGTTCCTTTACATGGATGGTACTCATTCTACGAAGTTAACTTGAGTTTTTTTTAAGTAATTTATCAAGTGTGGATTCGTATACTTTGAGCTGCACTCTAAGTATGAGGGCTAGCAATACTATCAGGCTCCCTGAACTAAGGTAGGCAAAGCGGAGTTCGGGCATTTGATTTATTGACTGAATTGAACGCTTTAACCATTGAACCACCATCCTTGTTAGTGTGTGGTGTAGTTTGCTCTTTATATTTGGAAAATAACCATGTCCATTATTGTGAAACCGTTTATCTAGAAATGTACATTTCTATCGGAAACCTTTGATAAACAAACAAAAAAATTGTGAACCTCACTTTACTTAACATTATATGATGGACGTTTACAGTCATTTTGGAAGGACTGAAATTACTAATATGTAGGAGCGTTTCTAAATTTAGGGATGATCTGAATTAGAGTCATTCTAAAAGTTACGGACTTTTAGCGAAACTAAAAACAGTCACTTTCTGTAAGTCGCGGAATATAAAAATAATACAGTCCATTCTCATATCTGGACTCTATCTTGGCTAAGGTTTTTTCAATATGACTTTTTAAAACCGCTCATTTTTCTGAGTCAGTCAGTAACAACGTAGAACTTCGTACGTACGTACATCAGTTCGAGTTGCCACCACATTAGCACAGAGATGCCGTGGTCGATTCAAATCCCGTAGTGGTAGAGGTAATAAGAGTATAAGCAGTAATCGGAAAGATTAATGTTTGGAGATGTTACTTAAAGAGTATAATACAGTGAAATAAACTTGGGAAGAGAAAAAAAAGAGACAAGGGAGGATCAGGATATCAAAATTTGGGAGAACACAAAGAGTGGATGCACCTGCGCCATTGCAAACGATTTTGAGCCATGTCATTAAAGGTCTCTAACCATCGGTTGCTATCATCTCGTGGTCCCCAACCAGGTAGTCTGCACCTACTGACATGACTCAGTCCACTTGTCAATGACTTAATGGACTTGTGCCATGTTTTGGTCTGGCCGCCCCTGGCTTTCTTCCAATCTACTCCTATACCACTGAACATCGCACGTCGAGGCAGTCGGTCGTTGGGCATACGTAACACGTGTCCCAGCCATCTCAACTGATGAAGTTTTACCACTTCATCAATTGATTTGCCATCCTTATCTAGTACCCGTTTCCCAACAACTGCATTACTTACTCGATGGTCCCATGATATACTAGCAATATTTCGAAGACACCTATGATCAAATACTAGTAGTCTACGAATATCCTCTACTCTTGCCGGCCATGTTTCACTTCCATAAAGCAGGACGGAACGAACTGCTGCACAGTAAACCCGTCCTTTGTTTGATAGACGGATATCTCGCCTACTCCATAAATGACGCAAGTTCGCAAAAGCTAGTCGAGCCTTCTGTATCTGTGCTGAGATTTCGTCACATACCAGACCACAAGGACTGATGAGACTTCCAAGATAAGTGAATCGATCGACACGCTCAATTACTTCACTCCCTATCATTAGTTCGGGTGTCAATGCAACCCAATCCTGAAGCAACATTTTGCATTTCGAGGGAGAGAATCGCATCGCGAACATGCTTGCATTGTTGCTTAGAGTGGTCAGAAGACTCTGCATTTTGTCAGCGTCTTCGCCAAATAAAACTATGTCATCAGCATATTCTAAGTCAACAAGTGAACCTCCCGGTAGAAGTTCAACCGCTGGAAATTTAGATGAGGAAATGGTCATCTCTAAAAGCACGTCAACGACAAAGTTAAACAAGAAAGGAGAGAGTGGATAGCCCTGACGAACATCACTTGAGGTAATCAATTCTGATGACAGTTCGCCATAAGCTCTCACTCTACCAGTTGTGTTCGAGTAGAGAGCTTGAATAAGGCTAATGTACTTCTTTGGTACTCCTCTCAGTGACAAACACTGCCATAGAACCTTACGATCAACAGAGTCGAATGCTGCCTTAAGGTCGAGAAATACTACCATTGTGGGGCGTCTAAACGTGTGTCTGTGTTCTAGAACCTGACGTAGTGTGAATATTTGGTCTATACAACCACGTCCAGGTCGAAAACCCGCCTGATTTTCTCTAGTTTGCTCTTCACGAGCTTTGGTTAGGCGTCGAAGTATTATTGAAGTTAATATTTTAGACACTATATTAGTCAAACTGATTCCTCTGTGATTGTCACAAGAGGACTTTTGTCCTTTCTTAAAACCTGGCACATTTTTCTGATCGCTATATTTAAATATTTTACTACTAAAGTACATAAAATTCAACTAAAATAGTGTGATGTACAAAAGTGATCGTAAATTTGTCGTCAACTGTATGCGATGAATCCGATATTTGAAATCGACTGATCGTTATTTATAAATGTGACCTCAAAATGTTGACCCCGAATGACATATATATCGACCCGCTATAAGCAATCGTTGAATACATTAAACAAATCGATCTATAAACAATGAAGCTTGTAATTTGTCTCATTAGTATGATACATTTGAATATTGGTTATGGTTTCTGTGCGAATTTCTACTTAGTATGTGAAATGAGAAAATTAAGTATTCCTTCTAAACTATTATCAGGTACTTCTAACTAATTACGGTATTTATAAATAGCATTTCTAACCAAAGGGGGATATATATGTAGCTTGCATTTATTTGTTTTGAGTCACTCATCATCTACATAATCCTATTTGACTAATCTCGATCGCTGATCGTTCCAGTTTATGAGAAGAGACAAATTGTCTTATGATGACCACAAAAATCAGCTTAATCAACATGGCGTCTAAAAAACTAACCTGTAATAATCCGACGCTTAACCAGGGCTCATATATAGCAAACCAGGGTTGTTTTTGACATACATGTCGATGTGTCGATCGAATATTTACAGTTCAGTTTTTAGAACACATGCATTTTTAACAGCTAACTAAAGTTGTGTTTCTTGACCTTAAAGTAGTATTTGATCCTGCTGATCCACTGGTGTTGTGACAGTGTTTCTTACCGAAAGCCCTCTACTCGTACACTATTATTCGATCTAGAAATTATTTCGAACTGACAAATTGGGCCGGTGGTGGGAAACAATGAGTGAAGTTACAGAAGCATTTACTCTGTCCTCCCTTAGATCTCGAGTTTGAAAAAGTTTTTCCGTTCTTCTCGAACTATATTGTCTATAATAATTCTTTCTGCTACTACCGATACCATTATTTTGATAATTTCATCCCTCTATCGTGTGGCATGGTCTTGAATCACTCATGGTATACTACGTAGCAATTGCTTCTGTTCTACTTTACAGCTACGAAACGTGGCCATTAAGGGTATGGATACTCGTAGGTTACAAGTATATGCCCATAGATATCTTAGAAATATTGCTCACATCTGCTGGGATCACCGGGTAAGTAATGGTGAGGTTAGGTGCAGTGTATTGGGAAATTATGGTAAAACAGTTGATGAGGTTGTAAATCTACATCGACTGAGGTGGTCGGGCCATGTGTTACGTATGCTTGAACACCGATTACCACGACGCGTAATGCTGACTAGTGTTGGGGATAGCTGGAAGAAAGTTAGGGGCATGCAAACCAGAAAGTGGTATCAGTACTTGAAGTCACTAACTTCTAGTCTGAGCCATGTTGGTAGATTCATACTACTTGGTTGGGGTACACGCGACTAATGTGTCCAATGGTTGGAGACTCTTAGTGACATGGCTCATAATCGACCACAACGCCGTAAGTGTATGCACTCTTTGTCATCCCTTAATCCGTGAGATTAAATT